ACAGCCTCCCCCCCGCGCCGCGCCGCGCCCGCGTACCTGGTAGGTGGAGAGGTCGCCGCTGTGGCGCTCCTCGATGTCGCTGAGCTGCCGCTCCAGGGACTCCTTGGTGCCCCGCACCGACTCCAGCTCGATGCTCTTGCTCTGCAGCTGCCGCCGGTACTCGGAGATCTCCTCCTTGGCGGAGCGGATGGCCTCCTTGTTGTGCTCGGCCGCCTCGGTGAGCTTGGCGTAGCGGCACTTGAACCACTCCTCGGCCTGGTGCATGTTCTGGTCGGAGTGGCACTCCAGCTGCGCCCGGATCTCCTTGAGCGCCGTGGTGAGGTCGGTCTTCAGGTAGTCCTTCCTCTCCACCGCCACGTGGGACGCCTGGATCTGGGCGAGCAGCTCGGCCACCTCCTCCTCGTGGTTGCCGCGCAGGAAAGCCACCTCATCCTGCAGCGACTGCACCTTCTTGTCCAGCTCCACCTTGACCAGCGAGGCCTCCTCGACGTCCTTGCGCAGGGCGCGGATGGCAGCCTCCGTCTCATCGCGCAGGCGGGCCTCGTCGTCGAAGCGCTCCTTGAGCCGCTGGATGTCCTCCTCGATGTGGTCCGAGTCCAGCTGGATCTGCGACTTCTCGTGGTTCACCTGCTCCAGGGCGCAGCGCAGCTCCCGCAGCTCCTGCTCGTAGGCGTCGCCGAGCTGCGTGCGACCCGCCTGCCTCTGGCGCAGCGCCGCGATCTCCGCCTCCAGCTCCTTGTTCTGCTGCTCCAGGCCGTGCACCTTCTCGATGTAGCCGGCGAAGCGGTCGTTCAGCCCCTGCAGCTGCTCCTTCTCGTTGGAGCGGCTCAGCTTGAAGTCGCCCGTGCCGTTGAGCAGCGAGGCCTGGCTCAGGTCCAGGCTCTCGGAGGAGCTGAGCAGCGCGGAGCCATAGGCGGCGCGGGCGGCGCTCAGGCCGGGCCGTTTGTAGGACGAGGACACGGTGCTGCCCGAGCCCCGCGACCACGACTGCGAGCGGAAGCCCCCGGGCGGGGGGGCGCCGGCG